TCTTTCCTCATCTAGTAAATAAACAATTTCCTCCATCCATCCGTCCTTATATACCTTCAAGTTTTACTTTCATTATTTCTATTGTAATTATGGTCCTGTTACTTCTTTGTTTTACTCTCATAATTGCAAACACCAACTTATCTCCATGACGGCAGTAATCTTTGTTTTTCCCCTCACCATATCATGTAAAGACAACATTATATTCAATATATTTAAACATGTTAGGATTTCTATAGCACATTGCCAATACTGTGTGACATAAGCTGACGGTAATTTTCACTTGTATTATTATTATTAAAACCTTAACTGTTATCATTATTATTATTATTTCCATTCTATATGCTGCATGTTTTCGAAATTACGCTTATTGTTAATATGGAAAATTTTCTGTGTGATTAATTGTATTCATAATTTGAGGAAATTAGATGCAATATTGTGATTAATGCTGAAAATTCCATTCTGTATCACAAGTACTGTTTTTGAAATAAAGTAAATCATTATTGTTATTATTTAGTTTTCTAGATTGGTCCTGACGGCATACCTGCCATTGTCCTCAGGAATTGTGCTGATATTTTGTGTTATCCTCTTACTAACATTTTTAATGCCTCTTTTTCCGGTAACGTTCTACCTTTTGCATGGAAAAACATTAAAATTATCCCTATACCAAAACCATCTTCTGGTTCTGATATTAAATTTCGGCCTATTGCAATTACTTCCCCCTTTTTAAAATTGATGGAAAAATTACTTTTACTTCGTCTTGAACCCGCTTTGAAACCTTTTAATGATCCTAAACAATTTGCATACAAACATGGTAGAAGTACCTTGGATGCTGCGGTTGTCTTATATCACAATGTTGTCTCTTGTTTAGACAAAGGTGCTAAATATGTTCGTAGTGCTTTCTTAGACTACACATCTGCTTTTGACTCTGTACCTAGGGGCCTTTTATTAAATAAGCTATCGTTGACACAAACAGGATCCTGGGCTAAGAGTTGGTTGCATTCCTATTTTTCTGATAGAATGCAGTATACTGTATATAACGGCAAATCTTCTTCTACCTCGCTTACAAAATCCGGTGTTCCACAAGGTGCTGTCCTCTCTCCTTTTCTTTTTTCTTTCTTCCTACATGACCTACCTCATTCAAACGAAACTAACTTTGTCAAATATGCAGATGATCTGACTGTATCACTGCCTATCACTTCCGAGTCTGACAGCTCCAAACTTAATAGCTTTCTGTTGGACATCAACAACTGGTCCAAGTCAAATGGTCTTATATTAAATCCTTCCAAATGTCAGGTGCTTGACTTTACTTTCAAGCATCGACGTGACTTACTTGAACTAGTTAACTCTCATGATCCCTGTAGCATAGATGGCACGGAAATTGAAACCAAATCAAGTATTAAATACCTTGGACTAGTTTTTTCCTCTGACCTTTCATGGTCATCCCATATCTTATCTATCTCTAAGAAAATGTTTCGTCTTACCTTCTACATTAAAAAGTTAAGACAATCAGGTATCAACCAACCTTTAGTTTTGCAATTTTTAAACTCCTGTATTTTACCTATTGTACTCTACTGCTCTCCATTAATCTTTCCTGGGCTTCTCAAAAAAGATTATATCATATTACGAAGAGTATTAAATGCTGTGAGTAGAGCTTGTGGTCTGCCACTGCATGAGCTCGCTAATACTATAGTCGAGAGGCATATAAATTCCTGTACGAAATGGGCAAAGGCTATAATGTCAGACCCTCTGCACCCCCTTTATTCACACCTGTCCCCTTGTATCTCATCAGGTAGGACGAGAAGTCAATATAAAAAGATATATGCTCGTACTACTAAGTATAGAAATTCTACAATACTCTCTAGAGAATGAGCTAGGATACATCCAAAATACGTTAGTCCAAATGGGTTATCCTAGTAGATTTGTCAGGAGACACATGAATGCGAAGTATAATAAAGAGAAACCGATAACAGTTAAAAAGAAACAACTGTTCATCAAACTGCAATTTAATGGGGACGTGGCTAGTGAAGTCTTACATCAGAGATTATCGAGAGCGATAAAACGGACTTATACTGCCGCCACCCTCTGTTTGTCATTTTCCAGCCGGCCAATTTTGATTGCTCAAGTGAAAGATAAGTTACCGAGTTGTGCCACTTCCATGTGTATTTATAAATTTAGTTGCTCCTGTGGAGAAAGCTATATAGGCCGAACAACTAGGCAGCTTAACAAACGCATTAATGAGCATCTTCCTTCATGGTTCGGAAAAGGTCAAATAAAGTCCATACGAAGTTCTATTTTGGCACATTTGATTGATAGTGGTCACCAAGTGGACAAAAATAGTGCTTTCAAAGTTATTTACCGCATTCCATCAAGCCTTTCGAACGGAATCAGAACCCGACTTTTACACTTAGCCGAAGCTATGGGAATTCAAGAGAACAATCCTAGTCTTTGTATACAAAAGAAATTTGTTCTACCTTTGTCTCTCCCTTGGCCTAGGTGAATTCAATTCAAAACCCTCCCACCCTTTCTTATCATCCCTCTCCTTCGTACTTTTATGATATTTATTTAAACTCTGATTATCGTTCCATTTGATTTGACCTAATTTATGTATTTATTGAATTGTCTACGTATATGCATATACTAACTTTGTTATTCTTATCACCTATATAAGCCTTATTAACAATATTTTGTTATTATTATAATCATCGTTATTAACTTCGTTCAAAACATTTACCACATTATTATTACTATTATTATTATTTGTATTATTATGATTACGATTATTATTTGATCCACTAAATCACCGTCATTGGTTTACATTTTATATATATAAGTCTATGTAAATTAGAGTAAAGCCTGAAGAAGATCTAATTGAAAACAATATTGTTCGCTTATATGTCTTGTTCTAATACCCTATTTAGCGCGTACTTTATGTGACGAAGACTCTGTTAGACGTGAAACTTACAAGTTACTATGTAATTAGTACAGTGAATCGACCCTTTTATCGCTCATCTTTCTGTATTTTATGGTGTTACACTTTCTATCGTTTAAATCGTTACTCTGCTATTTTATATTAGTTGGTATTACTATTATTACTACAATTTTGTACTTTATACATATTTTTCTCCGTATGGCACACAGTATTTTGCTACGTAGCTGCTACAACAATCGTTTTATTACTATTATGTATTGTGTATTTTTAATTTTTTTTTGTCGTTTTTGGGTAAATTAGATGCAATATTGTACTGAATGCTGAAAATTCCTTGCTGTATCATGAGTACTGTTTTTGGAATAAAGCAATTATTATTATTATTATTGTTATTATTACATAGCTGGGTTTATTATCTAAGATCTGTTCAAGTTTCTGTGTCCTGATGATCTGATTTATTCCTGTCGCTTGGTAACACCTGTGTATCTGACCATATGGTCTAAAGGCAAAATATATATATGTTGAATTAATCTATCATGTCTCTGGGTCAGTAGGATCCTGAAATGGGTATATGTTTTGTCTGAGTTCGTATATTTTTGAATATCTTCCCACTTCCAGTCTTATAATTAATCGGATAAGGGATTCCATAGATACACCACCTGTTTGGGGCAAGTTAGGAGGTTTTATGAATAATCTTACATGTTTATTACTAATAAATTCTTTGTCAAATGTATGTTTGTAGAGATTTGATCGGTTATAGATTTGATCACCAGATTACATCAGTTAAAGAATAACTGGAAACCTGAGGAGTACTATAACTCATCATTAGAATGCATCCACCACCAGGGTTTAAACTTAGAACTTTCCAGTTACAAGGTAAGCACGCAAACAATTCAGCCGCCATAACTCAACCAAATGGTGAACCATGAATTCCCATTTCTGCCGATTATTCGCAATGTACCAAACGCAGCTGCCAACTAGTGTCATTGGCAAATGACTGTTCTCTTACCACCAGGATCAAACCCTCTCAATGGTTTCATAATGCTGGAGAGTCTCAAGAACTGTTCATTAATGCTTACTGGTTTTCCAAGAGGTCCTTAATTTAAAAGTCAGCTCATGTTCAAACCTGCGGTAATCAGAATCTTTCCACCAAATATCGCAGCAACATCCAGCGCCAGTCACCATCAACGGGAGTGATTTGAAAGAGGTTACTTCATTCACTTTTCTGGCATTGAGCATTATCCCAACCACAGGCAGTCGGAACGGACAAGGATGTCAAATCGAGAATCGGGAGGGCGAGAAACACACACATTCATCAACCTGAAACCAACCAGGAAATCTTCGTCACTAAGCATGAACAACAAAATTCAGTCGGATTTTCAATACAAACGACGTCAAGTCAGTCAGTTATTCTATACGGTTCAGAAACTTGACGGGCGGGCGGGTCACAAAGAATATTTCCAACAGTCTATTGCAGACCTGTCTTTATCAACAACTGTCTTCGCTCTATACTGAATGAAGATCTGATGGCCGGGCCGGAAAGAATCACCAATAAGAAATAATGGGCACAAACAAACAAAACATGAACCAATCGCCCAACAAATATGCAGGAGAAAGTGATAAGAGATGGACTGGATACTCGCCGAGGAGGCCACTTGGCGATATTGTGCGCGCGTCAGGTCATTGCTAGAGTGGAACCCGGCCGAAAGGGAAGCGGTGAGTGGGATGTCAGTGCCAGGGTGACATGGAGGAGATCGTATAAAACAGCATGTTGAGTTGAAAGAGTATGGACTAACAATTATGCCTGTGAAACGTAGAGGAGAAGACAGAAGTGGCAAGCCCTACGTTCCACTAGTAACCCAAGGGAAGGATAATAAGATAATAATAATCTCAAGTAAACGTCTACATTTAAGTAGGATATTTGCTTTAAACTTAGGCCATTGCTGAAAGCATGTGTTTACTTAATATTTGCTGCATTCCTATTGTTTTAAACAGTCTTTTATCTTCTGATTGGTTAAGTTTACTTAATCCTTTTACCCTCTTTACCATTTTATTTGGTGAATATTTCATAATTCATTCAAAGAAATGTCTATATTAGGAACAGTAAGCAAAATACATATGCTTTATTAAATATTCTAATAAAAATGTGAAATATATCATACAGTTATCAAATAAATGAATGTCAAATTTTATTGCAGAAATTTCCTGTGATTGATACACATTGTCATTTATGTGAACCAGAATTTGACAAGGTGAGTATTGACTACTATGTTCGCTGTTTAAGTGATATATATTATATTAAGTTTTATGTCTTTTTGACAGATTACGTAACTTCCCTTTTATGCATAATACACTCGATACAGTGTTGAGTTTCGGTGTTTTGTTTTCCAAGAAATACGATGATGAATCTGGTTAATAGTACGCTCACTGTAACCAGCTATACAGGTGCAGTCAAACTTGTGGATAAACTTAGAAGAGGCAAAATTAAGTGTTTATTATTATTTCTGGAATGTGGAACTATTTTTTTATTTTTGGTAACAGCTTGATTCCACACTGTATTTTCGGTACAAGTATGGAATTTTCAGCATGGATATCGGTAGCCCAAATTTTGCAGGCCGACCATAGATGTCAGGTGTGCGCCGGCGTGGGCTCGAACCCCGGACCATGTGCATGGTCGGCGAGAGTCCTAACCACTGTGCCACCGACGCACAGTAGCCGTCAAGAAACAGTTGTTGCATTCTTTAAGTGCTGTGTTATTATTATTCCATTGATGTTGTGACCAAAAATACCTGCAGTTTTATGAAGAAGTGATTCCTCGGAATTGTTGCCACATTGACTTATCATGGCACTAAATTCACATTTTTCTATTAGTGAACTTATTTGAATAACCATTAATAATGAATATCCCCATAATGTTTTCAGATTAAATGTTTAGAGCGAACAATTGTGGTTTCAATAAATTCCTCTTCTTCTTTAGGCTCTACATTTATAAATCCATTAATTTAAGCATTGAATAGCCAGCTAATAAAGGTAAATTAGAATCATATCAGAAAGTGTATTGTGGAACAAGTATAAGTAAGATGGGATGGAACAATAATCAAATAGTTTTTTAATATGCACGGTCAATGAGAACATGGGACAAAATAACATAAAGTAATTTAATTTAATGACATATATATGTAGTCAACAGAAAAATACACGTTTCGAGAGTGAGTGTAATCAAGGTGTGTGAGACAATATGAAAATGAACCAAAGAATGGAGCGGACTAGACATAAGGTTGAGAATAATGACAGTAACAATGATTGTAAACTAATAAGGAAGATATGGTGTAAAATTGCAAGTTATATTGGTGAATGATTGTCAAACAGTAATAATAATAATAATGAAGTTAGAAAAGCATTACTTAAACCTAAGGTAATAAAATCATAAGAAAGGTCATAAAATCATAAAAGCCGAAGATGAAAAATTGTCAATGAAACAAAGGAATAGAAGAAGAAGAAAGGAAAATTGTGATAGGGAATTGTGGTGTTAATGTTTATGGAGGATTTGTTGGCTTTATTGTAGGCCAACGTAAACATAGAAGGTGAACATTTTTATTTTTGATTTACAGCTTGATTCCACATTGTATTTTCGGTACAAGTATGGAATTTTCAGCATGGATATCGGTAGCCCAAATTTTGCAGGCCGACCATAGATATCAGGTGTGCGTCGGTGCGGGCTCGAACCCCTGACCATGTGCATGGTCGGCGAGAGTCCTAACCACTGTGCCACCGACGCACATACTTCTTTTGTATACAAAGCGATGGTCTTCTGGTATTAATTGCAACCACTTTAGGTACTGATAGAAGACGTAGTTAAGCTCCTCTAGATAGATAAATTACTAGTAACGCGGTAAATAAGTGAGAATGCCTGGTCAAGTTTTATCTTGTTTCCAGTATCTACCAAGCGGGCTAAGACTGCACTATACACACATTTGGTTACTTCTTTACTCAACCATACAGGTACATGTTTACGCGCGTGCATGGATAAAGCCCTCCACATGAGCAGTTGAATTTATATATGCACATTGATGAGGCCATCTTTGGTAATTTATCCTTTACTTGCTGTGTGAGTACTGGTCAAGTTGAGAAGTTGAGTACCAGTTTAGCTGCAGGAAATGTTCTGTCTACTGCTCTATTAAGTCGACATTTTAGAAAGTTAGCTGCAATTTCCCCTTTGTAACTTAACTTAAGATACAAAAGTTCTTGTCTACGGCATCCATATCTGTAGGTATTGACATATACCTTTTTAGGAAGTTCTTCCTTAATTCATTCCTCTGAGCAAATGCGTTTTATTCTGTAGCTAAGACACTTAACTAAGTTTCTTTTGTATTGAATCAGTTTGAAGCTGTGAAAATGGGTGTACTAACCCATGCAAGTTTTCTTTCAAAATAATTTTCTTTGTAGATATTCGTCTATCCTAATGGTAAGGAGGACGTATGGGAAAGGTAAACTCTTATTGTCTTCTTCTTCACATGTAAAAACTGAATAGCTGGGTGAACACTATTGACAACATTCAGAAGCTTTTGTTTATTAAGATTCCTGTCACAAACGATGAAGGTTTCATCTACATATCGACAATAGTTGTCAAGATATTTAATCTTGTCTTTGAGTGGACCATTTTCAAGCTTTGACAGGAAAATGTCCGCTAGCATTCGGCCTAGAGGTAATCCCATGGCTACACCATCAAACTTGTCTAAAACCTAACTGACTATTGTTGACTCCCATCTTGTACTTGTGTAACAGCAGAAGACAAGGGCTGGCAGCAGATCGTTTTATTACGGAAATCAACACGTATTTATATATATTTTATTTGCATTAATAAGGCTTATGCAAGCAGAAAAAGGCAGTCTTCTGATTGGTTGTTTCTCGGAAGTTAAGCAGACAAACACAGTCTTATGATTGGTTGTTTTCGATATTTCTCGGAAAGTAGAGCCATCTATCTGCGAATCATATTTGTCCACATTTAAGTTTGCTGTGATTGGTTGTTGAAACAGCCTTGTTCATATTTTCTCACGGCCCATATTAGTGACCTAGACATTAACGTAGATTAGTGCCAACCAATCGGCTAGCAGCCTGCTCTCACCACACTTGTTCCGCAATACACTTTCTGATATGATTATAATTTACCTTTATTAGCTGGCTATTGTATGCTTAAATTAATGGATTTATAAATGTAGAGCCTGAAGAAGAAGAGGAATTTATTGAAACCACAATCGTTAGCTCTACATATTTGTTCTGCATTATTAATGAGTAATTCTCGGAACATTTTGATCTCTTAATTGAAACAGTCGTTTGAGCAGACTATCCTAGCTGTCACTTCTCTTGATATTCTGCAAAGAATTGTCACTAAGCTATTCAGTGATTCAGGCGATTTTTCCGAAATTTCATGCATTTATTCCCGTTGATGAATTTAAAATAAAGCAAGAAAGACAGTGGTGTACGCAGAATAATATGGTACCATCATTGTCTATTGTGTTGGCTCCTCATCAGCCCTGCCGGTTACAGCGTAAATAAATTATGAGGTTCATGCACTGAAAAGTTTTAACATACTTGCAAAAAGTTTACATGTGATGTCCGTTGACGGAAGGTTCCGCAATTAGTGAACAGTGATCAGAAAATTCCGCTTATATAGTTTTTACACAGGCAGTTCAAGATTAAACAAAATAAATGTATGCATACAATGGTAAAGGAGTTACGTGATAAAGACGACAGAGGCAAAAGATGCTGAGTGATTAACAAATTAGGCAAAAATGAACTTAGTTTAACACAAATCATAGAAACAGGAGACAAGCGAAATCATAAATTATCAAAGGAGGGTGAGGTTAAAGTCAAGGATTACTTAAACAAATTTTTTTTTGATTTACAGCTTGATTCCACACTGTATTTTCGGTACAAGTATGGAATTTTCAGCATGGATATCGGTAGCCCAAATTTCGCAGGCTGACCATAGATATCAGGTGTGCGCCGGCGTGGGCTCGAACCCCGGACCATGTGCATGGTCTGTGGGAGGCCTAACCACTTTGCCACCGACGCAAAGAGATAATAAAAAGACATCCAGTTATCCTAGCTGTATGAATCGATTGCATTATCAAGGTGAGTTTATATTTTAGAGGCGCAAAACTACAAGAAAGGTTAGTGTACTTACCTGTAGTTGGAGATTCACGATATACACTCCTTCTTAGTGTATCATATTTTCTTCTGGTTAAAAAACATTCAGGAATTATGTAATTTCATTACTTTCTTCCCAATGTGCGTCGGTTGCACAGAGGTTAGGACTCTCGCCGACCATGCATATGGTTGGGGTTCGATCTCCTGCCAACGCACACCCAATATCGATAGTTGACTTGTAAAATTTGGGCTACCAATATCACATGCTGAAAATTCCATAGCTGTACGTCGGGAAATGCTTCTCTGCTGTGCTCACTGTATATGATGTCCGCCAGTGTGCTGTACTATCCTCACTTCTCTTTTCCTTATTTATGAATGACTCACCATCTTCACATGACATTAATTTTGTTAAATATGCTGACGACCTGACTGTATCTTCGCCTGTCAAGTGTCAAAGTGACTGCTCCAAACTAAATGGCTTTTTATCAGAAATCAGCCTGTGGCCCACAAGGAAAATGGTCTAGCTTTAAATCCCTCTAAATGCCAAACAGTCAACTTCACCTTTAGGCGCAGATCTGACGTAAACAAACTGGTTAGAACTCACGAGGTGTGCAACACTGATGGCACTGAAATAAAAAACAAGTCGGAAATTAAATATCTTGGTGTCATTCTATCGGCTGATCTTTCCTAGTCGTCTCATATCTTGGTGATTTCTAAGAAAATATTCCGTCTTACCTTTCACATCATGAAGTTAAGACATTCTGGAATAACCCGACCCAAGCCTTACTCCTACAATTCGTTAACTCTCACATTCTGCCTATTATTCTCTATTGTTCCCTCTTAGTTTTTCCGGGGCTACTGAAGAAAGACTATACCCTCGTAAGATTTAGATAGGATAGAGAAGATTTGTAGCTCAGGTGAATAATTTTGATGTGGTTTTGTTCTCTGAGCTGGATAGTTAGTTTGCGAAGCTTTCATCACCTTACTGGGTGACATCTTCAGCGCATACTTCGGACATCAATACCACGGACATCAATTCGACTGGGACAACCAGTGTTCAAATATTAGGCAGAGGAAATAACAAGAATGCTAGAGGATTTTT